TATATGTATATATATATTGGCCAAGTGCTTACTCGCTTAACAAAACTTCCAGTTGAAGACCTTCTTTCATATGCCATATTTTCCAATAACATAGCCTTTTCTTCTTCCTGTACCTAAATTAATATAAAAAAATCATTTAATCAAAAAGGTATATCCAGTACTAAATTTAGTTTCGATACATTGCATATTTTTTTCTGTAAACGTATAAATCTACAAGATCTAGCTGTGAGAATCCACTTATTGATCAATGGTCTGTTTAAACTTACTTGATTCGTTGTTTACAAACATAATCCAAAAACGTGTTAAATACAAACGGACAACGTCTCGAGTCACGTTACATCTTTATAATACTTACCCGACTTCTTGCCAAATCTCGCAGGATGCATCTTGCTAGCAGAATCGCAATTATGATTCCAAGTAGAAAACCGAATATAGCACAAACGACAACCACTGTAACATTGACGCTTGTGTAGGTGGCTGGCACTAACACCAATACATCGGTACAACTCGACATTTTCCACTACTTCTCTCGATCCTGATCTCGGCAGTAATAACGTACAACAACTGACTGAGATTACTTGATATTTACGCGAACATGAGCGACCTATCCGCGCTGAAAATCAACGTGAAATTACGGAAACGACGGTCTATGTACAACAGTGGTAGAGAGTGTTCGCCATCTTAGGGTCTCCGCAATTAAATGACGTCAGGTATCGTAACCTAATATGGAAGTTGATTTACCTTTTATGGAAAAGGTAAGCAGTTTCCCTAACCGATCAATATTTTGAACGGGGTATCCATAATAGAGCGGTTTCAAGGTCTTTCAATCAACTTTGTCTCAAAAGTCTCGAAATTAGATAATTTGTTTGTTGATTAAATTTATTTTAGGTAGCTGGTAGATTAAACACGGACTATTATTGATTTCCTGTTATAATCGTATGAAATTTGCTTATTTGGTGATTATTGTTGAAGGGTACCTTGAAACCGAATGAGCTCAGTTTATTCTCACATCTCCTTGGTGTTTCCCCAAACATAGCGTATCATTGTTTGCCCAGCGAAAATTAGCATGGCTGTTGACTTGACATAGAGCTGAACCACATTCTGAGGTCTGGGTAAAACACCAGTTGTGTGTTTTCTGCAAAGAATGCTCTGAATGTTTTCTGCTACGCCCGAAGCACTGGGAGATTGTTAACACTTCCGAACTGTCACCAAGAAGCCAGAAAATCTGATTTGAAACTGACGCTGTTTTGTCTTTGCTGTCAGGGTGAGTATTGGCCTCCGTGTACTGAGAATAACATTTCAGAGATGGTTACTGTTGCCCACAGATTCCTGAACGGCGTTACGTTGGAATGTTTACATGACTGTAACCCGTTTTATAATTTCTTAATCGAACGAATCTAAATGGTGTCAGCTACCATATCCCGCTGGGGACCACATGTGTACGACAGTCTGCTACGACTACGAGTTGACCAGCACCTAAGCACAGTAGAATAGAGTAGACCTTTGTTGAAACCGTAAAGAAAATGTGATATTTCTTTTTTGATAAGAACAATAAATCAAGCAAAAACATAAACCAAATACGTGTAAATGTGATAGCTGTACGTTGTTTACTACAGCTGACTAAACACTAGTAGTGTCCAACTAGCTGCCAGCGTACTATGTAAAGTCCACCGATGGTGTGAACCAGGTCACTGCAGTTCGATCCCCATCAATTAATGAATGAAAAATAATTATATGAGGCTATCATGAGAAGTATTGTAAAGGAATTTTTAGTGACTAAACACAGGGTCTTCCTAGCTCAACCCGCGGCCACAGGCGTACGTCGTTACTGTCGTTTGCTATATGGTATTTCCAACCCTTTCCACGTTGAACTGTTCCCAAGCCCAAGCTCAAGCTCAAGCCCAAGCCTAAATTTAGTTCATTTTACATTTTTTTTTTTCATATTTTTAGACCAAATGAACATAGTGTTATATTACATGCAGGTCTTGATCACAATTGTTGAAAACAAAATATAATTTTTTTTAAATATTTTGTAAAAGATGACAAAAGTGAATGATTCATTCTCAAATCAATTAAAAACTAATCTAATACATTTTTCATATTTCAGTGAACCAAGATAGAAAACCAAGACTCTGGACGACTGCTCTTAGGCTATTATATCTCTTCTAGCTGCCATAGCGGCTAACAGATGCAAAATGAACTCCTTCTTTCGGGTACCTCACATTTTGTTTCTATTACTCTTGGCTTCATCACTGTCCTCCAGTCAAGTTGTGAATATTAGCCTTTCCACTAATCCCTCGGAAGCGTATCTTGGTGAGACAACTATTCTCACAGCAGAAATTGAGTTGGCAGCGTCTACTGAATGTGGTGTGTATATAGACAGCGAGACCTTCACAAGGCTGAATGTCACCGACCCGGTCAATGCTATGTACGATAATCGTCATACTTCAGTCTTCATCGATTTAGGCACCATTAGCAGTAGCCAGACAATATATTTGGATGCTGTTGTTATTCGCGCACTGCCAATAAATGGCAACATTGTCATCACTATGGTTGTGGGATATGGGTCGTATGATGCTGTCTTGAACGAGTATATGCACAGCATGCCGACCAGTACATCAATACTGTATCTAGGACCTGAAATAGAGCCCTACATGACAACTGACGAGGAGGTCATACCTGGAACAATTCCTTTTGATAAGGAACAGGAACTATTGGTAGAAATTATTCTGCCACAAACAACATTAACTAGTGTTGATATAACACTTTGTAAGTATGGATAATGTTACTACAAATACGTACCATAGACACTACAATAGGATTGTGATCTAAATTTAGTACAGGTATTGGAATCATTACACAAAACCACCTTCTAACAAAAGAAAAAAGTTTCCTATCTCTCTGTTGTAGGCTCTTTGCATGTATACACTGTGGTTGAAGTATTATTGGATGAAACAGGATTAGAATCCATCCACATGTTATGACCAGTGATTTGTTTGGGATTGTGAGTCCAAATGGAATCCCAAAAATCAAGTTGAGTTGCTGGAAGGAAAAAACAAAATTGTATGTGACTGTTGTACTGCTGATGTGATACATGCTAGTGACCCCACTGTTCTTAATAAGAAAAAAACACTTTTTGAACTCATTGAAACCATTCCTTACAATTTTGCAAGACTACGGTATTATTGATGAATTTAGTGGTCCAGCAAAACCACAAAATTTTTTCAAAATGAACATTTCATTTTGGATCTTTAAGGGAGTGATTTTTGCAGAGATCTTAGGGAGTGACATTGACAATCACAAAATGTCGACTTCATCATTGTCCTCAAATTTTAAAGAAGATTATTAAGTTCTTAAAAAAGATGTGGTGACCACTACATTGGGAACCGTTTTTGCCTATGCGCTGCTATCGTAATGTCAGAAGTATCTGCACTGACCTCCATTGACCGCCACCCCTACCCCCCACCCACACTGATCTCCACTGAAAAGAAAAATTCACATGTGCACATTTGAGACCATTTCTTATAACAGTGTTTCCTTTTTTATCACAGCATTCATGTCAGCCGATTTTACGTACATTCCCGTCGATGCAAGTTTTGCGGAGATCAACTCCAACAGCTCAGACGTCCTCATTGACAGTTACAACACTACATCATTTACTGTAGAACACAGTACATATTCCACACCAGCCAGAAGAAGACTCCTCCAATCAGTCGCGCAGGTTGACGTCACATGGACAATTGGTGATATACAGAATATTGCTACTGCAAATGCTGCTCTAACTTTCAAGGTAAGTAATTTTTACATCAGTGTGATACATATATGTGAATAACAATTACCGGATTTTGCCGTCCGAAAAATCGCCCTTATTTGGGGTTCAAAATTTAAAAAAATTATCATCAAATATTTTTTGGGGACTTATATTTTCATTGAAAAATCTACCTACCCGGACTTTCAACCAGCAGTTGGACCACTTAGAACAAAGAAACTATTGCAAAAGCTAATCTAAAATTTGATACATTTTTTTCTTGCTGGATTGAAAAGTAGACCGCCTAAAATGTCATTACAATGTCATCCAGCGCATCTTTCTCCAAACAAATCACATTAACCAACCTTGTGCGCCAAATACAATTATTTTTTTCATTTTATTAGCAACGCATGTATATTCTAAAAGAAGTGTCACATAAAAACGAACACAACTGCATTGCTTAGTAGCAAATAATCGCGGTAGAGCAATCCGGTTATGGTGTGTTTCACAGTTGTAGATTATTACCGAATAATGATTATAATAACGTGCAAAAAATAAATTCGTTGAATTGTTATAAAATGTAAATAAATTTCAACTTATTTCATCGTAAGCGAATGAATCTGGTTGCACTTTAAGTGCTCGATGCTGTAGAAATGAATATCCGCCATGTCTTGACCTGGGACGGTGTTCTTTGACCTGACAGGTCAAATCAGTAATTAACCAATGAAAATGATGGATGATGCCAACGTGTTCAAATTACCATAGCTCATTTAAATATATTAATGTTATTGAACGCAGCATGGAAGAGATTTGCCAATGTTGTTGTACGATCTTTTGGCTTGAATTTTGATGGAAAAGCGGCATGATTTGTTTTTAAATAAAAAAATTAGTTGTTTTCAAAACATAAACTGAGCATTTGAAGAATAGTTTATATATATTAAATATTGTTTATAGTGATAACAGCTCATTGTAGAAACGAAGCTTACCCTTTCACGCTAGTCGCAATAAACATCATACTCTTGAATAGGCGTCAATGACTACGGTAAAACTTTTAGGCATCAGAAAAGATTGAAATAACACATTTAAAAACTGCCGAAAAAAGTCACCCTTTTTAAAACCCAAACTGCCGTTTAACGGCCCAGGGTGAATTTACGGCAGAATCTGGTATAACATTTTTAAAAGTTTAATGGTTTAAATTTAACACTTTCGTTTAACAATATAATACACCACTGCCTTTCAGGAACAGATTTTTTTTTTCAAATTTGCACTGTATATACAATGTACCTGGCACCATATGGAGTGTAATTAGATTATCTGAAAAGAACAAATGTGTGAAAAAATCAAATTACTTTATATAAATCTCTTTATTCTAAGTTGAATGCTGTAAACAGCTTCAGTTTTACCTAACAAAGATTTTTGTGAGTGAGTTGATGAGGTTTGTGAAATTTCATTGTTTTTCGGGTGAGGAGTCACAGAAATATTAAGGCTTGAACACTTTTTGGCATGTACATGTACATGTATTGCTGAATTAAATTTTGTAAGGATATACATGTATTTAGTAAAAATGTTAAATCTTGTCGTGAAAATCTGTAGAAATTATTACATTTCATTTAATTTTTTTTAATTATCATTAAAATAGTGTTTTTATTTTTATTTTTCATTAATTCAGATTCCTCCACATTGTTATTATCTACCTTTCATCGCCTGATTATTGATTTCACAATTGAAATGTCATTAAAAGGTCAGATGACATCATAACAGTACCTGACATACTTTTACATGGTAATTTAATTCTGATAGCGATAATGTCATCAACCCTAATGGAATAATGTTTCCTGCTTGTTAGTGTGTGAACCATACGGTTTGCTTCCAGCGCTGTTATTTTTCCCGCCAAAATTGGAATGCAACATTTGGCACATTTTTATGTAATTTTCTAAAAATTCTTTTTTATTTTGGATCGAATAGATATACATTCCCATTGTCTATAGGCTTTGATCAAAATTGGTGAAAAAAATGTGTTTATTTTGTGATCAAAAGGTTATATTTTGTTATGTGAAGGAGTAATAATGCAGTGAAAACAAACACCAAAACGCTTTTCAATTTACAGAAAAATGCAGTCTATCAAAATTTGATATATGTATAGAATCTATAGACTCAGGTACATGATAAGTTATTTATTTTATACTTGTGCATTAATCACATGGAACTTATTCTGGGTTTCTATGGAAATGGCCAAATTGTTGCAACTTTTTCACACTTTCATTGTTTGATTTCATTAATTTTCAGAAGATTTAAATTTATGGAAATTTACCCAATTCAATTATATTGGGTAATAGTTTGATTTGTGTGAAGTGCCTATAACACAGCATTAGTGGAATGCAATATGTGTATAAAAACTATTGGTATGTATTCACAACGACTGGGGAATTCACTTAATACTTATATACACACTTATAGTGGGCGCAACATCTTTGAATACCCTAGTTAGCCATTCTGTCAGCTAATGGCCTTGCTACGAGTTTGCACCAGCCACTTTCCTGTGAAATACTTTATTTTAGCTGGAATTAATTTTCACTTAAAAACCGTTTAGGTGTTTTGTATGGAATTTATTTTCACTGATATTTAGTTAGTTGAATGAAAAAATAGGAAAAATGGCATATTCGCTGGATTTTATTTCCACTGAATCATTACCTCAGCGAAAATAGCGAAAATTACTTCCAAGCGAAAATAAAGTATTTTGCAGTAATGTGTGTGATTTCAAAACACAGGTGTTATGTCTGTGTGTTGAATCCACATGTAACAAATCATTCAATGAAATGGATGGAAATGTTACAAACTAGCAAGGCAATTACAATGTAGCTGACTGACTAGGGGTATTCATAAATGTTGTACCCACAGTAATAATAGAATGACTGAGAAACTACTGTTGGATTAGGTATATATACAATCTACCGGTATTAAGATCTGCTGAGGAAAAAGAATGAAAAGTCATTTGGTTTTATTTAATTAATAGGTGGGTTACTGGTTTACACAAATTTTACAGTGAACTGATTATCATAAAAATAAAATTTAAATACCGATATTTAGTTACTGCCCATTATGCTTCCTGAAGGGCAGCATTAAATATTGATAAAAATAACAAAAATTCTAAAGTTCAAATTATAACCTAATCTTTATCTAGGCTCATAAAGCATGTTCCTTCTGATTAAAACAAGGATACGTAATCATGATTAATAATGTACAAGATGTAGATAACCCTTAAAAAAAAAGAAATTAAATTATTTTACCTGCAGAGATTTACTCGTTAAAAGCCTTTTCAAGTGTCTGTATATGTACTTTTAAACTCCCTGGAGTATTAGAGAGACTGAGAGGGCAAGTCAAGATTCTACTTGAGTACCGGTAATGATTATTTTCTACTTAGTTATCTTTCGGGTCTATACATGAAAAGAGGTACGGCGTGACGATAATATGCAATTATTCTCCAGTATATATATAACAATAAGTGTTTGCAGGTGAACATCGAGTAATAGTATGGTAACGTAAACTCATGCAAATGTGCAGTCGCTTCGTACAAATTTGGGAAAACATATGAAGTCGTGGTTGATAGTGCATTTCATGCCTGTTGTATTATACAGACAAAATCAAACAAGGATATTACATGCATAGAATCTCACAATAAATTGTCTCTTTAGTATAATAAAAACCAAGCACAGTTCTAACTTAAGCTAAACTTTAATTCAGCAATAGACCGTCATCAAGTGATCTTTAAACCATCAAATAGTTTTACATTCTCTCTGTCATTGCTTCCACTTTTCCAAACTTCCACTTCTCCAAATACGTAGATCAGTAGAGCAGGCTACAGATATGATGATTTAGGCAATTATCTGTGTTCACTGATATTATAAGCAATTGTTTCAAAAGGCTCTGCAATTTTATTTTAGCATGCATGATAACTGCTGCTCTGACGATAGCTTCACATTTACCATTGTTTGTCTACTCTGTATATTACTGAACAATGTATATTTTATGATCATTTTGTGTTCTTATTAAATATTAATTACATCGGCTGGAAAATTTTCACATATTTTTACAATGTGTTCAGTACCTGACATACTTTTACCTGGTGATTTAATTCTGATAGCGATAATGTCATCAACCCTAATGCAATAATGTTTCCTGTTTGTTAGTGTGTGAACTATACGGTTTGCTTCCAGCACTGTTATTTTTCCCGCCAAAATTGGAATGCAACATTTGGCACATTTTTATGTAATTTTCTAAAAATTAATTACATCGGTTAGACAATTTTCACTTATTTTTACAATGTGTTCAGAATGTATGAAGATGGGATATTTTGCAAGAATGACTAAAGTATATAAAAGTACATGTAGTTTGACATTAAATTATTTCAAATTTCAAAATACATATTCAGAAATTAATAAAAAAGGGATCACCAGAATGAAAAAACGTAAAACATCTTGATAAAATTTATAGTACGAGAATCTGCCATTTGTTTCATTGCAACTAAGTTACAGCCTTTGTGCCCATTTCAAGAAACAGTTTGAGACTTTAAAAAAAAATTTAACATATTTTAAACACGAGTTTGACACATTAATAGTATTTCGTATATTACATGACAGGTTGACTGATTGCCTTTCTTTCATAATAAAGTAAATGTACAGTAGAGAGAAAATTTAATTAACATTCCATTTATAAGGAAATATCGTTTTACTCTGTACTATAGTGACAAGGGAGATAGATCTACAACTACTTGCCAGGTTTAGGATGGCCCTTGTTAATTAATTAAAACATAGCACTAAAATAACATAATAATAACATAATACAGTAATAAAAATTAGATGAAATTTCCTGTCTCTCTTTTCAATACTGAAACAGCTACCTTAATATGACTCCATTTTTAGCTCTGCTGTCGACTTTGTTGAGCGGAGCTTATCATACGAGTGATTGTCTGGCGTCATCTGGTGTTTGTTGTCCGTTATCGTCTGTGTCAACTTTTTACTTTTTCGACTCCTTCTTGAAAACTACAATTCCTATTACTTTGATACTTGGTGTATATGTACTCTGGACAGACCTCTCTTAGATTTGTTCATTTCATGATGATAATTCTCTAATTTTGATGAATATTTTGTCATTTTTGGTAAAAAGTGATATTTTTGTCTTCTTGTTGAAAATTGCAAGTCTGATTGCTTTGATATTACTGGTATATATATTAGGTACCTCAGGTAGACCTCTTTCGGATTTGTTCATTTCGTGATGATATAATCAATTCTCTAATTTTGATAAATATTTGTTGTCACTTTTGGTAAAAAGTGATATTTTCGATTTCTTGTTGAAAACCGCAAGTCCGATTGCCTAGATATTATACACATAGGTACTACAGGTGGCTCTCACAGATTTGTCCATTTTGTGATGATATCTTTAACTGTAATGTGCATTGCTAACAGCGGAGCTATCTCCGCCGCCGATAGGCTGCTTGTTATATAACTATGTGGTTAATTGGGTTCTTTCCATATTTAATTTCACTATTTTTGATGGAATAAAAATTCTTTAATTTCATAATTTAAGATATATTTTGGATTAGTGATTGAGTTTCAGACATTTTTGACCTTTGACTAAAAACAAAATTGAGCATTATATATTTTATAGGCACTTTAATTTAGCTAGAAATCTCACAATTGTAAGATTCAATTTTTTTCTTTTCTGAATTGCATGTATAGCATAGAATCTGAATAGATAACATGCAAGACCCTGAAGGTCACACATCATGATACTTTCTGGGGGCACATATTTACTTTAAATAAGAATTTCTTGATCGTATTTCAAAAAAATACTCCAAGCAAATTGTGAAACTGACATAGCAAAGCTTGAGTGATATAACATTAGATTAAATTCTAAAGTTAAAAAAACCCTGAAATAGATATTACTGGTAGTGCAATAACTGTAGGTAGGGTGTCACGTTTAGCCATGATTTTTCTTATCACAGAACGATAAACAAACTTGACATTATAGCTTAGTGTTTGCAGTTGATTGTGTTTATATATTATCAAGTGGATAAAATGACATGACACTGACGTTTGTCATGAGCTGATTAAAGTTGATGACTGGACACATTGACAATAAATACTTTGTATTTAGCAAAACACTTTGTTGTCGTTAGCAACAGTGGAGAATCATGTGGCATTGTGACATCCACATCAGGATCAGGTGATGTTTTTATAAACACATAGTTGCCACGACAACATGATGTATTTTGCACTATATGTTCAGATTAAATGTATTGTTGATTTTCATCTTTCTAAATTCTAGCAAAGTATTTTTGTAATTTCTTGTTTTTGACATAAGTACTGTAAAATCTGTATTTGAAGCCGCGGCTACTATTAAAATGGTACAAAGCAACAAAGAAGATGCAGCTTCTATTAGAGCATCTACACATATGAGAAATGATAAATTTTTGGTTCTCAATTGTTCAAAAAGAATGGGTGCGACTTCTATTAGGGATGCAGCTTCTAATACAGATTTTACGGTAGTATTAAATGATTGAATACTGTAAAATACTTTATATCTTTGCTTGGAAATTAATATAGGGATGATTCAGTGAAAATAAAATCCAGCAAATATATCTTTTTTTTTTTTTTTCATTCAACTCATTATCAATCAGTGAAAATAAATTCCATACAAAACACTCAAAAAGTCTTTCCAGCGAAAATTAATTCCAGCTAAAATAAAGTATTTTACAGTACCATTTTTTGGCGCAATGAATAATCTGTATGTTTTAACATAACAATACAGTAAACTCAGCTATTCATTGGCAAGGGCTTTCATTTGCTTATTAAGCTCAATGATCCAGTACCGGTACTTTAACAATTGCTGACAGCCTTATGATGAACGCGATAAAAGACCATTATTATATACTTATTGTACATGTATTAAACTACATATTAGAAAATACCACTGTCATTCCTATATATTACAGACTGATACACATTTTTACTCATTTTTAGCTCCGCTGTCGACTTTGTCGAGCGGAGCTTATCATATGAGTGA